GTCCATGTGTGAGTGGTGCCTAACAAGGAAAACAATGGATCAGAGCTAACACCACAAAGAAATCCGAGTACACAGTAACCAAACCATCATGCTCTTTATTTCTCCCTCCAAACAAGCCCTAAATGGGTGACTTGCCAACTGGGGACCCCGTGGGTCACTGTCTCTGCCTCACAAAAGAGCAAAGGACAGCCAACCGGCTCTGGGGAATGGGGAGATGGTAAGACCCTCCAAAGGCAGCTTCTCATGTCAGTGTATTGCTGACCACAATGGAGGCAAAGCTCAGGAAAAAGGTTGACTGCCCTAATCGCACAGTTCCTTCCAATTCCTCCTCAATTGTCATTTCGGGAAGGATGTCCCTCTCAAGATTAGTAATACCCCCCTCATTGCAGGTCATACCATTACAGCAACGAACAAAATAGAAAGAGTTAGAATGAAAGTATTTTCTCCTGGGGGCTTCAGGAGGCTGCTGAGAGGGGTGCACAAATGTGCAGTTGTTTGTGCAGTTCTTGTAAACGAATAATTCACGTTCATCGTAACCTAAAAAAGTAAAGATGACAATCATTGATTTCTCGTTTTCTGCTTGCAAATATCAAAGCACGTTTATCCTAACTAGCTCCATCCCTCACACGTTGTTACACTGCCTGAAATTCTTGATTGAGAAGATGATCCCAGTCCACTTAGGGTTCGATGACTCCATGACACCTTCTCCTGGAGATGTTGTCTCTCTACACTGCCCCCTCATCTCTGTATCTGGCCTCCCTATGAAGTTTCCTGGTGCCCGGTCACGGAGCTGTACAAACGCATCGTCCTGTTCACTATTTGCTCTAAGAATTCTAGGGATCCGGAAGCAGAACGGAGCCCAGGAAACATGTTTTGCTGATGTCCCAAGGTCACACAGACCCTCCAAGCAGAGGGCCCTTGTCATCTGGCCTCCAGCTGACTTTCTGCAGTTGGCATCACCCTGCTAGAATGGGCTCCCGCCGCACCCCTCTGCCTGCCATTCCCCGCCCCTGGCCCAGCACAGAGGCTGACGCACATTCACACCCACCTGCTCCCCAGTGCAGACCTGGTGCACCGTCCCAAGTACAGTCCCACTGGGACACCTGTGAGCACCTTTGCTGGAGGACTAGCCAGTGACCTCGACCAGCCAAAGCCCTGTTCAGGCTCCACCTGAGGCCTGGCTCGAGAGTCCCCGAGTTAAGCCGCCGCGGCCTCACTCACCAGTTCTGTTCCCCT